TAATGTTTGTTAGTGAACATCTATTCTTAGAAACTATGGACCAACAAAAATATAAAAAGAATTGAGCTATTTACACACAATATTAACCCCCACCCCTTTCAATTTATAAAGAAAAGCAAAGCAAAAACATGCTAGGCCTCATGTAACAGTATCTTCATATAATGCTATAAATATGAAGATGCTTAGGACCTGCTATTATCCTTTGGTGTTACCAAACTTTATAAAATAAAGTAATATATAAGAAGATGTGTCTTTTCACTGATTTTATTTCAGGGACCCTGATCTTTGTGGTTTTGACCTCCTGTAACAGGTGATTTTTAAAAAATAGAGTTTGATTCCCAGTACCAAAAACAAAATTTAAAAATATTTGCCATTTTAATTTTTCATTATTTAATATTGTAACACTATATTAATAAATTTTAAAACAAAAACTAGTTCTGTATAACTAAGCAACAGACCTTTTAAATCTTTTCTTGAACAAAACCAGAAAACATTTTTCAATTAAAAGGATACAAAATATATGTAGCAAAATAAGCGACAAGTACTTGTACATAAAAGGTGTCCTTATATTTGGATAAAACTTTTCCTAGAGCCTTGGCATCATCCATATCTCTGGGAACCTTCATAGTCAGTCTTTCTTCTCTAAAAAATAAAATTAAAGTGAAAAAATTTAAGCAGAATTTTGCCATGATAAAAGAAAAGTCAAGTTCAAAACATGGTGCTTTATCCAAAGTGATTTAAGGCCTTGATCTATAATTGGTAAAGCCAAATTAAAAATGTTTAAACTCAAAAGTCTGTAAAAATATTTGTTAATACTTTGATATAACTTCCTGAGATATATAATCCACATACGAAAGTTCAGGAAAGGTGAAAAGCATTTACTTCAACACTGGCTTGAACTTTTAATTAAATATTAAGAAATGAGCCATTGGTGTTAGTATATTAAAAACATTTGACAGCATTTTGGGTAATCCTTATGATAAGCAAAAGTTAATATTTGTAATAAAAATTAATTAAAATTTTAATGAATTCACAGTTCATACTTTTTCTGGACTATCCTAGCTAAAAGTTCAGAAAAAAGTTAAAATACTTTTCTATTCATTTTACTTTTAACTGGGTATCTTGTTTGGAACTGAATGATTTTTTACGTATGAAAGTATTCAGCCAGGCGTGGTGGTGCACGCCTGTAATCCCTGCACTCAGGAGGCTGAGACACGAGGATCGTTGCAAGTTCAAGACCAGCCTGGGCTACAAAGTGAGCTCAAGGCCAGCCGGAACTGCATAGCGAGACCATGTCTCAAAAAAGACACCCCCCACCAAAAAAAAGTCTCACATAATCATCTTTATATTTAAGATATGTTATGTTCAAAGGCTGGGGGATTTAGCTCAGCGGCACAGCGCCTGCCTGGCAAGTGCAAGGTCATGAGTTCGATTCCCAGTACCGGGAAAAAAAAAAAAAAAAAAAAAAGATATATTATGCTCATTTGTTTTCATATTTTTACTCTGCAGAATAGTGATGCAATGCACCTTTCTTATTATACTTATTTTCCTATTGAAACAGGTCTTGCTATGTTGCCCAGGATAGACCTGAACTCATGAGCTAAAGGATCCTCCTCTATCTGGGTAGTTGTGACTACAGGTGTGTACCAACATGCAGGGGAATGCTGCTTTTTAAAGTCCTATAAAAATACCTGGTAGCCAGGTGTGGTGACACATGCCTGTAATCTCAGCACTTGCAAGGCTGAGGCAGAAGGACAGGGAGTTAGGTGGTGTCTCAGCGGGAAAAAAAGCTGGTAAACTAAAGTAGCTTCTCATTTATAAAATTTAAAAACTAAACACGCCCACCAGGCATGGTAGGGCATGCCTGTAATCCCACCACTGGGAGGCTGACACAGAAGGCATGCTGCAAGTTTAAGGCCAGCCTGGGGCCACACGAGTTTAAGCTCAGTCTGGAGTACATAGCAAGATCCTGTCTCAAAAAAAAAAAAGTTTTAGGGCCAGGGATATAGCTCAGCAGCACAGCACCTGCCTGGCAAGCACAAGGTCCTGAGTTCAATTCCCAGTACCAAAAAAAAAAAATTTTTTTTTAAATTTTTGAAAAACAAAAAAATTTTAGAAGCCATATCCTTATTAGAGAAGCAATACTAGAAAAGGCTTGCATAAAAAAAAAAAAAAAAATCAACCAAGTTGAAAACAATATTTAAATAGTACTGATGTGGACTTGCTGCAAGTCATGAAAGCTAATATACAATCATCACAATAGTCTACTACTTAAAGTAAACTTTGCTTTTAATTCATTTCCTTTTTTTTAATTCACTTTCATCTCCTTAATACCCAGACATTTCTAGTTTCTTTCCTGTATACTTACTCACTAAGCTGAGGAAAATTTTTATATACCAAAAACATAACAAAAGCTGCAGACAGGAAAATGGACACCAATATAAGCAGCGACATCCTTGCTGACCCAGCTTCTGCCCAGGCTTTTTCTGAAAGGGAGAAAAAAGGAAATATAAATAACACACATAAATGTAAATAAAGTAAAGATAAAGGAAAACAGTGCTTCAAGCCAACAAGTACCCCAAGAACCACCACAAAGGAACAGCAGAGTTAAACAGAACTTGGTTTACAGGAAAGCAAGATTACTGGGTTGAGGTGATGACAGCAAGATTCACGCAGTAGGTGGACACTTCACTGAATGTTAAAAGATGGGAAAAGAGTGAGCCTTGCACCCGTCCTGTACGTTCAGGGCATCAAACTCAGAACCTTGCACTTGCCAGGCAGGCACTTGTGCTGCTGAGCTAGACCCGGCCCAACATTCTTCAGGATTTAAATGGGTAATACAGTTCTTTTAAAAATTAAATACGGCATTTAGCATGGGAGCTATAAAACTAAATGATTTGTTATCACATTATAAACTCACCATTCTTAAAATTAGACAGGAAAAAGGTCCAGGCAATGTTTAACTGAACTGTAGAACATTAACTATCCCGAGTTTCCTTGAGTACACGTCATTCTAATGGCTACTCGTTGTCTTACAGTTAGCTGGATGGTGAAATATACGGAGAGCAGAACAGAACTGACCTCTAGGTTTAACCTGGTAACTGTTTCTCCCACTCTCTAAAATTAGGCAAAGTTTTCAAGCATTGTGTTCACCAGCACCACAAGAAAACAACTGAAAAAATGCAAAGAAAACCCTGACTGACAATTTTGAGGCTCTCCTTTCTCTCATACAAACTGGTAAATACATTGGTGATTATGATTAAACAACACTCCCCCCAAATAATTCAAATATACCCAGGGATTAGTATGTAATTCATTTACAGTTCCAAGCCTAGATAAAAGTTCTAAATCTTTTTTTTTTTTTTTTTTTGGTACCAGGAATTGAACTCAGGACCTTGCGCTTGCCAGGCAGACGCTTGTGCCACAGAGCTATACCCCCGGCCCTAAATCTTTTTTTAAATTAGATTTTACTGGTACATTTTAGATATACATAATGATCACATTCATCAGAGAATTTGTACCTGTATATGATATAAAAAAACTTCTACATCTTGTTTTTAAAACTTACATCTAAATTTGAGGTATATACACTTATAATGCTCCTTGTTACGGCAGCACTAGATGCATGCACCTTCAGCATTACAACCACTCATACTTATACTTTATTAGCTTCCAAATCTTCTGGCATGCTAAGTCCTAGTCTGAATTTTCTCATTATCTGCTTCTCAACCTCTTCCCTTGCTACTGTTAAGAGAAAGAACTGTGCTCCCTCAACCTGCAAGTTCACATTTCCCCAGCTCCCATCAAGGTGATCACTGATACACAATAATCCTTTTCCATCCCTCTCCAGGAAACACTACTCAGCCACCAGAACCAGTGGCGCACATCTGTAATCCCAGCATTAGAGAAACTGAGCTCAAGGCCAGATTGTCTCCAATAAATACATAAATAAATATTCAACTCCCTTCAAGCCTTCAATTCTTCCTTCTTCTTCCCACAACCAATGACAGAGCCTCCTACTTTAGGGAGTTCCCCAATGTCTACCTCAAGATCTGTTCATGGAATTTTCTTCCCTTCCCTCTTCCCCCTTATGTTTTCATTAAAGGTTAACACATTTCCCTCTAGATCTTGCTCTTTAAATTTTCTTCCCAACATCTTCAATTTTTTTTCTTACAAGTACCTTTTTACTAATACAAATAAATCCATCTTAAAAACACAGAAATCACCCCTAACAATTTTCCAGTACTGTCTTCATTCTTACTATTTTCATGTAAAAATCTTTCAGAAAGCAAAATGTTACAATATCTACACTATCTTAGGAATTACTCTTACTGATTATCCAGCCCACTTCTTCTCCACCCTGGGTGTTTGCTAATCTACTTGGTCCCACCATGAAGGAAAGACCTGTTTCTCTTAAGGACATAAGACTACAGAATAAGACTTTTAAAGTCACAAAATGTTGTGAGGTGAACTATTTCAAGGGCTTTAAAGCTTAAAGAAAAAATCACTGACTTGAAAATGGTAGAGGCAGGGCCGGGGAGATAGCTCAGCTGCACAAGCGCCTGCGTGGCAAGCACAAGGTTCTAAGTTTGATTCCCGGTACTAAAAAAAAAAAAAAAAGAAAACGGTAGGGGGAACCCACTGTCCTGGCTTCATTCTGTCCCTCTTAGATAGTAAGTTCTTTTTCTCAAATTCTTCCTACTCTTCAAAAATAAAATTTAAAAAAATTGGTAGTAATGCCACCAAGTTAAAGTAGCTAAAAAGATAAACAATTTTTTTAAAAAACACAGAAAGCACATTTATAGGAAGCAGAAGCAGCACTCTCAGCCAGGCATGGTGGCACATGCCTGTAATCCCAGCACTCGGGAGGCTGAGGCAGGAGGATCCTTGTGAGTTTGAGACCAGCCTGGGATACAAAGTGAGCTCAAGGCCAGCCTGAACTGCACAGTGAGACCCTGTCTCAAAAAGACAAAAAACAAAACCAAACAAACGAAAAGTCCTATGCCCTACAACTCTGCTACCATCTGTCTACCCACTCACTCACAATCCCCTACCCACTTTCAGGTGCATCTCCTCTTTACTGAGGCCAACTGATAGCACACTTCTCCGTAATCCTAAAAGATTTCACCATTCATTTAAAGAATCCACTCAGTCTCACACACATTCATTTCTGCTCAAATTTAGCCACCCACTTCCAAGGCTACACACTAAGTTCTCACACTGCCTGGAACTGCTCTACCTTGGACATTTTAAAGTCTACATTCCTTTCTTTTCCTCCTATATGCAGCCTAGACTTCCTGTATCATCTGAGCCACTGTATTTGATAAAATCTATTCTTTTCTTCTACTTATCTGCTATGTTTTGGGTATAAAACTCAAGTGTCCCTCCGAGCTCACTGTGGACCTCAGGGAGGTGGCACCTAATAGGAGGTCCTTGGGTCAATAGGGCTTTACCCTCCCAAAGTAGCTCCATGGGTCTCCTTGACAGGTCCTGCCACAGTAAACATGAAAGCCTGATTTTGGCCCCACTTAGTCTTAACTGCTTCCTGACTCAAGATGTGACTTCTGCCTCACAATCACTGACATTCACATCTTCCACGTGGGCCTCACCAGAGGACCAATAAGGTGTCATGCCCTTGAACCTGCACACTGTACCCTAAATTTTCTCTTATTAATTAGCCACCCTAGGTATTTCATCACAGACAGGTTCATTTTCTTTATTTATATACCAAGACAGAGGTAAAACATGAGTGACCTACGTCACTGGGAAAACTGAGCCCATTCCCAGTTCCTTTTTTGGGTATATAACATGGATCAGACCCCGCCAATCAGCTTTTTCTCAACATGTGATAACAGTGAAAAGTTCAGAGATGACCACCAATCAGTGAATATCGAGACTTTGGTAATTCTAGGACAGTGGCAGCAAACCTACGGCACGTGTGCCTCAATGGGCTGCCAGTATCATGGAAAGCTCTACAAGGGTCGCCATCACTGTGCCAGGACAAAGATTCTCAAAACAAGAAGACACTTAGCTTGCCTGGAATTCAAAAAGAACTAATATGGTAAAGCTGACATGAAGTAAACAAACCAAGATATGAAAAAAACCTGATGCTGAGACAGCACTGGGCCACTGGTTCCAACCTGATGCCATTTGATCCTACTTCACTGATTTTTAAGTTACCTAAACCAACAAAGTGCCTCTCAGCAAAGGTTTCAATTTAGTTTCCTATATACTATAGGCAAAATGAAAAAAAGCCTAATACATAAAATTTGTGTTGAGATAGCATCAATAAATCATACTAATACCTTGGTTAATGTCGCACTGCCAATTTTACTTAGATCTCTTTTCTCTGTAATGAGTTTTCTTTTTCCTCTAAGCCAGCAAGCACCATGCTCACTGTGAATGCTTAAGGAGTTACTTGCTGAAGTAAACTAGCAAGGCAGGATCCAGAACACAAATCTAAGACAAATTTACTATTCCAGTCTGAAAAACATTGCCTTTTTTTTTTTTTGGTTTTTTCCGGTACCAGGAATCGAACTCACGACCTTGCACTTGCCAGGCAGGCACTGTGCCACTGAGCTAAATCCCCAGCCCCCGAAAAGCATTGCCTTTTAAAAGCAGTAAAAAGCCAGGCATGGTGGCTCACGCCTGTAATCCCAGCACTCGGGAGGCTGAGGCAGGAGGATTTTTGCAAGTTGGAGACCAACCTGGACTACAAAGTGAGCTCAAGGCCAGCCTGAACTGCACAGCGAGACCCTGTCTCAAAAAAGACCAAAAAATAAATAAATAAATAAAAGCAGTAAAAGAACTTCAAGACGGTGGCTCTTGATAGCTGGGCATGATGGTACAAGCCTATAATCCCAACAGGCTGAGGCAAGAGGACTGCAAGTAGGAAGCCAGCCTGGGTAATTTAGCAAGACTCTGCCCCAAAAGAAAAACATGAAAACGCTGAGGGATGTAGCTCAGTGGTAAGAGTACTACTGGGTTTGATCCCCAGGACCACCAATAAATAAACAAATGAAAAAAGAAAAACCATAGTGTTCCTCAAATTTTTCTGTTCCACAATAAAGAATTTATTTTACATTATGATCTGCTACATGCAAAATCTATATAAATGAAAAATGATGGCAAGAAATAACTGAGAGGCTGTAGCTCAGTGGTAGAGTGTTTGCCTAGCACACACAAGACCCTGGGTTCAACCCAAGGTGCCACAAAAAAAAATTTAAAAAATAAAAAGAGAAAGAAAAAAAAAAGGAAATAATTGAGGGAGGGGAAGATGTACCAACTCCCCATGATGAATGGAATCATTATGTACTGCAAGCACGTACAAATAAAAATTAAAATTAAAAAAGTAATTGAACTACACGCTAGACAAGTGCTTTACCTCTAAGCTATATCTGGGGCCCTATACAGAATTCCTTTTTCTCTTTTTTTTTGCAGGGACAAGGTCTCACTGTAGTCGGGCTGGCCTTGGAAGTTACAGTAATCCTCCTGCCTCAGCACCCCCAGAGTGCTGGGATTACAGGTATTTGCTACCATACCCAGGTATAAAGAATTTCTAGCCAAGTGTGGTGGTGCACGCCTGTAAATCCAGCATTTGGGAGGCTGAGGCAGGCGGATCGTTGAGAGTTCGAGACCAGCCTGAGCTACAAAGTGAGCTCAAGGCCAGCCTGAACTGCATAGCGAGACCCCGTCTCAACATCTCAAAAGGACCAAAAAAAAAAAGAATTTCTAACATGAGTTAGAGAAAGACAAAGGAGGAAGAGAGAAAAAAGAAAATTGGTAATCATTAATCAGCAGGCTGGATCAAAACACTCCCTAGTTTAATATAATCTGACACCATCAGAACGGACAACCTTCTCTTACTGCCACCCAACAGAAACCCTTCATTTGTGACAAATTAATCTCCTTACGGACACACGCAAAAGGGTCACACTAACCTTTAAACTTCCTGCTTCCCCTAGCCCAGCAACTCCTTCTCTCCTATTTATTCAAACCCTATTTCTCCAAGCAGGCAATCACACCTTCCAGATGTGTGCTCTGCAGAAGTCACTTGACAGCATCATAAAAACATTTAAGTGTGAGCTGGGCATGCTAACATATGACTATAACCTAAGCACCCTGGGAGCTTAAGGCAAGAGGATTGCAAGTTCAAGCCCACATCCAGCAATTTAATGACTTAGCAAGACTTAGTCTCAAACTTTTAAAAAAATATTTGTTAAAGAATAGACAGGCTAGCGATACAGCTCAGCAGCACAAGCACCTACCTGGCAAGCACAAGGTCTTGAGTTCAATTCCTGGTACAAAAAAAAAAAAAAAAAACTAAAAGGAAAAGTATCATTCATACTGAGGCAGGAGGAGTTGCAAGTTTGGGACCAGCCTGGGCTACAAAGTGAGCTCAAGGCCAGGCTGAACTGCATAGGGAGACCCTATCTCAAAAAGACAAAGAAAAAAAAAAAAAAGACACAGGAAAGGTAATTAAAAATCCTTAAGATGTAATATATATATATATATGTACCAATTCCCTAAGATGAATGTAATTACTATGTATTGTAAACATATACTAATAAAAAAGGAAACTAATAAAAAAATAAACTTCAGGAGATCAGGAAAAGGTTGGGAATACAGCTCAGTGCAAAGGCCCTGTGTCCAATTCCCAGCATCATACACACAAAAAGGAATAAATGTGTTGAACATGTTGTTCTAATGATAACATAAATCATTATAAAAGGCACTTTGGGAAGTTTAAAGGTTTGATTTTCTGAAAGGTTTCAGGTTAAAAAAGTAATAAATAATCGATCACTATCTCAAACCAAATGATAATCTTTATAGACTTGCCCTACTCAGTCAGGCATGTGGGCACAAGCCTGTAATCCCAGCACCCGGGAGGTTGAGGTAGGAGGATTGCTGCAAATTCAAGATCAGCCTGGGCTACAAAGTGAGCTCAAGCCCAGCTTGAACTGCATAGTGAGACCTTGTCTCAAAAAGACAAAAAGGGCCGAGGATATAGCTCAGCGGCACAAGCACCTACCTGGCAAGCTCAAGGTCCTGAGTTCAACTCCCAGTACAAAGGAAAGAAAGACAGAGAGGAAGGAAGGAAGAAAAAGAAAGAAAGAAAGAAAGAAAGAAAGAAAGAAAGAAAGAAAGAAAGCAAGCACTCAGGAAGCTGAGGTGAGGACTGCCACAAGTTCAAGGTCAGGCTGGACTACATGGTGAGAACCTGTCTCAAAAAAAAGCACTTTTTGAGAAAACTCAGACCTCAGATTATTGTCACTCTCAGTAGTTTTCAATTTAGAGGACTCGCCAGGCATGGGGGCACACACCTGTAATCCCAACAATGGGAAGGCTGAGGCAGGAGGATCACTGCGAGTTTGAGATCAACCTGGGCTACAAAGTGAGCTCAAGGCCAGCCTGAACTGCATAGCAAGACCCTGTCTCAAAAGGACCAAAAACAAAACAATTCAGAGGACTTAAGGCAGATTTATGCTCTACCAACAATTAATTTCTATGGTGTTTTGAGGGTTTTTTTTGGTTGGTTTTTTTTTTTTTTTCCAAACACAGGGTCTCACTCTGTAATTCAGGGTGACCTTGAATTCACACTGTTCCTCTTGCCTCAGCCTCCTGAGTGCTGAGATTATAGGTGTATCCCACGAAACCAGGCTCTAAGGGTTTTTTTTCTGGATGGGGAGGGATGTTTTTTGAGTTAGGAATACACTAGGTAGTTCAGGCTGACCTTGAACTCACTATGTAGCCTAGGCTGGTCTCCAATTCCTCACAGGCAATCCTCCTGCCTCAGCCTCTGGAGTGCTGGCATTACAGACTTGTGCCACCACACTCGGTAGGATAATTTCTTTATGAGCTTTAAAAACACTAACAGCTTGTCAGGTGTGGTGTAACATGCCTGTAATTCCAGCATTCCGGAGGCTGAGGCAGGAGGATTGCTTTGAGTTCAAAGCCAGCCTAAATTGTATAATGAAACCCTGTCTAAAACAGACCAAAAAAGGGCCTGGGGATTTAGCGCAGCGGCACAGCACCTGCCTGGCAAGAGCAAGGTCGTGAGTTCGATTCCTGGTACCAGAAGAAAAACAAAACAAAATAAAACAGACCAAAAAAAAAACAAAAAAAAAAACAAAAAAACACTGAGACCTCAATCATTTCCACTGCTAAAAAGCAATAAGTAATCTTATGCCAAGATAGAATCAAGGTATTTAGTTTCTAGGCATACTCCTTCCCTTAAAATGATATTTAGGAGCCGGGGATATAGTAATCCCAGCACTCGGTAGACTGAGGCAGGAGGATCGTTGCGAGTTCGAGACCAGCCTGGGCTACAAACTAAGTTAAAGACAAGCTTGAACTGCAGTGAGACCCTGTTTTAAAAACACCAAAAAAAAGAAGGAAGAAACAAAGTTAACAAGTCCAAGGTTCCACGTCAAAGACAAAGAAGGGGCTCAAATCCAGGGCTCCCTGTCGCCTGGAAGAGGTACCGGGAAGAGCAAGCCCTCGCTCTTAACTACTGCACGGACGCTGTCACTAGACAAGCGCTGCACCCGACCCGCGGCCTCGGGTTCTCCACCCGTAACAACGCCACGAATGCTGAAGCTCCCTCCCGAGCTGTCTGCCTTCGTTATCAACCTTACACTCTCCCCGAGCGAGAAGCAGCCAGCTGTCATTTCTTTAACCTGAATTCAATTTACATTTTTTTGTTTTGTTTTGTTTTGTTTCGGCACGAGGAATCGAACTCACGACCTTGCGCTTGCCGGGCAGGCGCTGTGCCGCTGAGCTAAATCCCCAGCCCCTAAGCTGAATTCAATTAAAAAGCTCTCGCCACTCACCCACCAGGCGTGGGGACCCCATCGCCTCGCTCCGGTCGGCGCCAGCAGGCCCCTCCCTCCCCGCGACCCCCGAGACCGCCGCGCCCGCTCCCCTCCGGAGCCCCTCGGGGCACCCTCACCCTGCAGGTGGGCTCCGCTGCCCGGCGCCGCGCGCCCCCGCGTCCCCGCCGTCCCGTCCCTCGCGGGGCTCGCGTGGAGTGTGCGGGTCGGCGACCGCTCGGCGGCTCTGCCTTTCGCCATGGCTGCTGCAAGGGAAGAGAGAGAGAGCCGGGTGATGCCGCAGCCCCTTGACAACAAAGCCGGGCGCAGACGCTTCACATCACCCAGGCGCCAAGCCAGAGCCACTTCCGGCGCGACCTCCTCACCTGAGGCGACCTCGGGCCGGCGAGCACAGTGACGCTCGGCAGAAACCCGCAGCGCCCACTCGGACGAGGCCACGCCCCGCGCCGCCCCTGAGCCTCGCGCGCTCGCGCCCGTCCAGTCACCGTGGTACTAGCCAGAGGCCACGCCCACTCGTCCAGGGTCCCGCCCACCTGTCCAGAACAGCGCCCGCCTCGCTTCTGAGGGAAGCATGCGCAGTCAGTACGCCGAGTCACCGGCTGTGGCTCGCGCACAGACGTCTACAACTTCGGTTTAATTATCCGGAAGTGCGTTTCCACGGACTTCAAACTCGGTCGGTGACGCGACTCCCGGAAGTGCTTTGGAGTGATTACTTTGCGTTTTGCGGTTGACTATTCACCTCGTTCGTTGTAAACTAGTCAGTTCACAAGCTGCTGTCGAATCTGAAGCGGGTACAGAATGCTTGATTTGAAGACGCTTAAGAAACGTGAAGAGCTGAGCATAAAATTTGAGAAAAGGAAGCTCAGGCTGAAGCTACAACCTGTGAAGGTTGCAGTGTGGCAGAAATGGTTTAGAGCCAGGTGTGGTGGCGCGCGCCTGTAATCCCAGCACTAGGGAGGCGGAGGCAGGAGGATCGCTGCGAGTTTGAGGCTCGGGCTACATAGTGAGACCCTGTCTCAAAAAAAAAAAAAAAAAAAAAAAAAAAAAAAAAAGGAAAAAAAGAAGAAGAGTTAGCATCTAGGTATCCTTGTTCACAACCAAGTGCTTTCCCGTGTCGTCATCACCCACCCACACTTAGCCTTTCCTTTTGCTGAACCAACTTTTTCTTTTTTTTTTTTTTTTGCAGTCCTGGAATTAAATCCAGGGCCTTCATACTGGGCTACATCCCCAACCCATTTAAAAACTTTTTTTTTTTTTAAGACAGGGTCTCGCTCTGCAGTTCAGGCTGGCCTTGAGCTCACTTTGTAGCCCAGGCTGGTCTCAAACTTGCAATGATCCTCCTGCCTCAGCCTCCTGAGTGCCGGGATTACAGGCGTGCGCCACCACGCCCAGCTAAAAGATTTTATCTTGAGATGCCTCTCATCCCAGCCCTTGGGCGGCAGAGGTAGAATAGCCCTGAGTTTGAAGCTAGCCTAAACTACATAGGAGATACTATCTCAGCCCCACCAGTAATCAAACTCAGGACCTTGAGCCTGCCGGGCAGGAACTTGTGCCGCTGAGCTATGTCCCCTTCCCTTTTTTTTATTTTTAAATTTTCAGAAAGGATCTTCAGCCCGGTATGGTGGTCCACGCCTGTAATCCGGAGGCTGAGGCAGGAGTATCGTTGCAAGTTCGAGACCAGCCTGGACTGCATCGCGAGACCCTGTCTCAAAAAGACAAAAACAAACAAACAAACTGAAAGGATCTTCCAAAATCCTCCAGGCTGACCTAGAATTTGTGATCCTCCTACCTTGGCATCCGGAGTACTGAGATTACAAACTTGCACCACCTTTCCCAGCAGCAGAGAAATTTTCTACTCCTATCCCTAAGATCAGACACTCCACATAGTTGCATTAGTGAATGTATTGGAATACCTCATACCTCTTTTTAGACTTTGGGTACTTCAATTGGGCGTGGTGGCGCACACCTGGGATCCCAGCCCTCTGGAGGCTGAGGCAGGAGGACCCTTGCAAGTCCAAGACCAGGCAGGGCTACAAAGTGAGCTCAAGGCCAGCCTGAACTGCATAGCAAGACCCTGTCTCAAAAAACAAAAACAAACAAACAAAAAAAGACCTGGGGCCAGGGATATAGCTCAGTGGCACAAGTGCCTGCCTGACCAGGGCAAGGTCCTGAGTTCGATTCTTAGCACACACACACACAAAAAAAAAAAGACCTGAAACTTTGAAACTACTAGACAGAAACATAGGAGAAACACTTGCAGCCATAGACATAGGCAAAGCCTTCTTGACTAGGACTCCAATAGCACAATAAATAATAGCAAAAAATCAAATGGGGCTACATCAAATAAAAAGGTTTTGTTGGGGGTGGAGCATGCCTATAATCCCAGCACTCTGGGAGGGTAAGGCAGAAAGATCACAAATTAGGGCCCAACCTGGGCAATTTGGTAGTTTAACAAGACCTTAAAATACACACACACTCGCAGAAGAAGGCTGGAGGTATAGCTCAATAAGAGGGCCCTGGATTCAATCCCCAGTAACACACACATACACAACACACGCAAGTATATTCACAGCAAGAGAAACAACTAAGAGTGAAGAGACAGCCTACAAAATGGGAGAAAATCTTTGCCAGATACTCATCCCACAGAAGATTAATAGCTAGCCTACATAGTGAACTAAAAAAACTAACATCAAAAAATCAAATAGAAAAAAAAAGCTGGGCGTGGTGGCCCATAGCTGTAATCCCAGCACTCGGGAGGCTGAGGCAGGAAGATTGTTCTGAGTTGGAGACCAGCCTGGGCTACAAAGTGAGTTCAAAACCAGCCTGAACTGTAGAGCAACATCCTGTCTCAAAAAGACAAAAAAAAAAAAAAAAGCCAATGTGTATGATTCCATTGACATGAATCATTCAGAATAGAAAAGTTATAGACAAAAAGTTACTATGTGCCAGAGGTTGGGGGTGGAGTGGGACTACTGATTGTACTATCAATGGAAAGGAATTACTAGTAGGTACAGGATTTCTTTTGGGGGAGATGATAAATACTGTGAAACTAGTAGTAATGATTGCACAATTTTGTGAATATACTGAACTTTACATTTCAGAATACTGACTTATATGAATTAAATCCCAATAAAAACAAGATTCATTCCTTGAAAGATTAAATTACTAAAACCTTAAAAAGATGAAATAAGGAATCTAAGTAAACCTAGATCTATTAAAGAAATCGTGTTTTATTTAGAAACATCTTTCCACAAAGAAATTGCCATTCCAAGGTGGGTGATATAGCTCAGCGGCATAGCACCTGCCTGGCAAGCGCAAGGTCCTGAGTTCGATTCTAGGTACCCTCATGCCCATTGGAAGGGAATTGCATAGAACAAAACTTAGACGTTACTTTTAAAATTCTGTATTGTGCACATAAACAATATATCCAACTGTTCATAACAACAAACTTGTGAGCATTAAAACAGAGGAAATAGCCAGGCGTGGTGGCACACGCCTGTAATCCCAGCACTCAGGAGGCTGAGGCAGGAGGATCATTGTGAGTTCGAGACTAGCTTGGGCTACAAAGTGAGCTCAAGGCCAGCCTGAACTGCATGGCAAGACCCTGTCTCAAAAAGATAAAAACAAAACAAACAAATAAAACAGAGGAAATAAAAATAATATGTTAAAGCACAAATGATTTGTATTGCATTTTCTAAAGTTTTTGTAAGAAATTTGTGTTACCTCCCTAACTAGACTAAAAGAATTAAAGCAACAGATAATTTTAAATGTCTGTCATATTGGAACACATACAATTTCTGTTATGTTCCTTTTAATTTGATATCAAATCACATTTTATCTTTTTAAGTCTTTTTTTTTTTTTTTTGGAGACTCAGGTAGGAGTTCATTATGTAGTTTTTTTTTTTAGTTCATTATGTTTCACTATGTAGTCCAGGCTGGCCTCAAACTTGTTGTGATCCTCCTGCCTCAGCCTCCCAAGTGCTGGGATTACAGATGTGTGCCACCATGCCCGGCAAATTTTCCCTGTTTACTGAGAGAGATTTAGTGTAACGTCTCTGTGGCGGTGGGCAGGAACTGGGCAATCCAGCTCTTCCTTCCGGTGAGGAGAGCTCAGTCTGAAGTGGGGAGGGAAGTGGTTCAGAGAAAGAAGAAGAAAACCCTTTGTTCAGGGAGCCAGAGAAGGAGGATGTCCCAAAATTACCTCAGAATACGTTGCCTTGATTCAGCATTTAGGACAAATCCTTCAGTACCTGTATTCAGGCACCTGCCAGACAAGGCAGAGCAGAGGCCTGAGGGATCATGGGTGGAGGAGAGGAGGGGCGGCACCTTCAGAAGCCAGCGAGCTCTGTCCTTAAACTCTGCGGGATAGACCTGGGCTGCAGCCAGGCCAAGCTCTCTGGATGGCTATCACAAAAAAACTGCGATGCCTTTTCTGTTTTGTTTTGCTGTTGTTGTTTGGGGGGACAGGGTCTTCCATGGAGTCCAAGCTGGTCTTGAACTTGCTATGTAACCCAGGCTGCCTTTGAACTCCTGGTGATGCTCCTGCCTCAGCCTCCTGAGTGCTTGGACTGCAGGTGTGAGCCACCACATCCAGCTTCCGATGCTTTTTCACTTGTGCTGGGTGGAGAAGTCCGGACAAGAACCCGGATTGTTCAGGTTTTCAGGGTTGGCACTCTGGGCCATCTCTCTGAGAGCAGCTATTTGCGTTGGCAGCTGAAGAATCCCACTCTCGGCGGGCTTGCTTTGTATTCCTGTGATCCTAGCGCTCCGGGAGCCTGAGGCAGGAGGATCACAAGTCTGAGTTCAATCTGGACAATGGAACAAGATCCTGTCTCAAAATATAAAAAATCTAAACAGGGGTGAGGATGTGGCTCAGTGAAAAGTCCCCTGGTTCTTTTGCCAGTTATTGCTAAACAAATGAATCCTGGTCTCTAAATAGTCCAGATTATCTGAATAAGTCAGACTATGAGAACAATTTTTAATAGAATAGCTTTATTTTTTAAATTACTTTTCCACAGAACAACCTGATTATATTATATGGCATATTGGTGTGGATTTATGTGTTTTATTGGAATGTAGCTTCAAGAGGACAGAGGACTTACCTTGCTCAGAGGAATGTCTGACATGAACAATTGCCCGGAGGATTTTGTTGAATTACCAAAAAAAAAAAAAAAAAAAAAAAAAAAATTGTTACAAGAAGATCAAAGGGCCAGGGATATAACTCAGTGGCACAGCACCTGCCTGACAATTGCAAGGCCCTGAGTTTGATTCCCTGTACAAAGAAAAAAAAAGGTCAAAAAGTGAGATTTAAGAATCCCTGTATAGTGGGGTAAGGTGGCTCATGCCTGTAATCCTAGCACTCGGGAGGCTGAGGCAGGAGGATCATTGCAAGTTTGAGACCAGCCTGGGCTACAAAGTGAGCTCAAGTCCAACCTGAACTGCACAGTGAGACCCTGTCTCAAAAAGACAAAAAAAAAAAAGAAGAATCCCTGTACATATCTCCATCTAACCCTACTCCCCCAAAATAACCATTATAACATGTTTAAAAAAAAAAAAAACCCAGGGGTCAGGAATATAGCACAGCAGCACAAGCTCCTGCTTGGTAAGCACAAGGTCCTGAGTTCAATTCCCGGTACCAAAACAAACAAACAAACAAAAAATAAAATAGTCTAGTATCGGGTTAATACTATCCCTTAGCTATTGCAGGCTGATCAGATCCACAATCTCCCAAATGAGTAGCTGGGCGTGGTGGCACACACCTGTAATCCCAGCACTCAAGAGGCTCAGGCAGGAGGATCATTGAGAGTCTGAGGCCAGACTGAACTACATGAGTGAGTTCAAGGCCAGCCTGAACTGCTAGTGAGGCCTTGTCTCAAAAAGACAAAAAAAAAAAAAAAAAAAATCCAACAAAAAAAATCTCCCAAACAAGTGTATGGTGAAGGCTAAACAAAAGAGATGAATGGAATGATTTCAGAGCTCCAGGAGGATCAGAGCCCTCTTACAGAACTTGAGATTCTCTTAGGGCTACAACGAAGACCTTCTCTGGGTGACCCACATTTATTTAGTTATCAGAAGAGCAGAGAGGAGTACTCAAGAAGGGTGGAATCACTCAAGGTCTTCTCTCTTTTTTTTTTTTTTTTTTTGAATTTTATACAAAAATTCAGTTTTACTCTTAATCTTACATTAGTGGGAGCTGACATCTGTAACTTACAGGCAAGCATATACTTTTGTTTCCTACCTC